ATTCTTGAAGTTGAAAGATTTGAGTTCTTGATAGATGTTCTTGAAGTTCATTCCAAATCTTGTTGGGTTGGGTTTTGGATGATTTCTTGAGATCAAAGTGAGTGTTTTAAGGGATGTATTGAGTAGATTAGAGTTGTACTTATGTTAAGTAATCAATTCTAAGTGATTGGGGAAGAAACCATTCGATTCTAGGCGAAATAGGGTGAGAAAACGAGAAAAAAAACTTGCTGAATTTTCTGGGTTGGGGGCCTGGCGCGATGCGCCTGCCAGAGCACCCCAAACCCACCTCTAAAGTTTAGGGGCTGGCTCCCCGCGCCACCCATTGCGCCAGGGTCGCCTGCCCCATCCAATTTATCGTCGGTTGCCCCATTTGAGTTCGTTTAAAGTGCACCTTCACTCCTTTTCGATTCTAACTACTCTAAGCTACTTCTAAACACCTAAAATCATTCCAAACATGATCATAACCTTGAATTCATAAATCAAATTCAAGGTAGAATTGAGAGTCAAGTTTGTAGAACTGTTTTCAAACCTTTTTTGTATAAGGTCCCTTAGAGTCTTTTTTAGGTAGTCTTCTACAATTACTAGTAACTTGTTTCAAAACTCGAGCAAGTGAGTATGAGGATGAAGAGAATGTATTCATGAATCTACTTTGTCATCATGAGATCCTTCATATCATGAACCAAAACTCTTGAATTCATAATTCACATTCAAGAGAGAGTTAAGAGTAAAGTTCAAGTAAGCCTTTGAGTTCAATTGTGAATCCTTTGAGATCAACTATCGATTTGAACTAAGTTCTGAGAAAGTAAGTAAGAGAATGAGAAGAGTTGTATACATGAGTCCATGTTGTTATGAAGATCATCGAGTCGAGTTGTTTCATGCCCATAATTCCGCATGAACTTCGTAAGTTGAGTATCTTTCAGAGAAGTGGTATCTTCAAGTTTTAAGCCTTTAAGTGTTGAGTTCCTAAGTCCTTTTGAGAATTATCTTTGAGTTCTTGAGTTAAGAAGTCCATGCCTATAATTCCGCATGAACCCTTTGAGTTGAACATTCTTTAAATGATTAGTATCATTGAAGTTCTTAAGTTCCAAGTATTGAGTTCTATCTATGGTTATAGAAAACCTTGCATTGAGTCATTCATGTCCCTAATTCGGCATGAACCATATTTTAAGGAGTCTTTTACAAATATTTTAACTTTGTTTTAAGACTTAAGCTTTGAAGTTAAGTAAAGAGTAAGAGTAAAGTCTTTTATAAATGTTTTAACTTCGTTATAAGACTGAAAGCTTCAAGTTAAGTAAAGAGTAAAGAGTTGAATTCATTTCTCAAAAGTTATAAGGGAACTAAGTATTCCCTAAGAGTTTATAAATGTTTTTACATATTTGAGCAAGAAAAGGGAACATGATTCCAAGAGAGCCTTTGGGCTAGTTTTCAGTAAAGGGAACATCGATTCCAAAAGAGCCTTTGGGCTAAGCTTCGAGCAATTATCTCAAACTAAAGAAAGAGGTGTTTAAAACACATATGAGCTAAAGTATATTTTTGGGAGTAGTATTGAGCACCGAATTGGGGACGCGAGTTCATATTAACTCAAATCTCCATAAGAACCATGTGGCCAACATGGGATTTAACGGGTCATACTTTTTAGATGATCACGTAAGTTAAGCTAGTGGATCCACTAAGTTAAGTTAAGGTCCTATACTGATGGCAAGGTATAGGATGGTCCTTGGAAGCGC